AATAGGTATTTTTACAAAAATATAATAATAATGACACATAGTCCAAATGTTCTGTGAAATGCTATGTTCCCACTTGTATAACCATGTCTGTTCATGTAAGGATTAGCAGAAGGTAGGCTTAGCATGTAGCGCATGTAGAAGGCAGATCTTTTTGTCTATTGCACGTATTGCACACTGCATTGCATGCATACAGTTGACCCTGTCATCTGCCCCTGGGTCTTTCGCACACTGCATTGCATGCATACAGTTGACCCTGTCGTCTCCCCCCCCGGTTCTTTCGCACACTGCATTGCATGCATACAACTGACCCTGTCGTCTTCTCCCTGGGGCTTCCTGCAGACACCTGTTACATCCTGTCTTTCGCAATCATCATGCTGAACACCAGCCTACACAACCCCAATGTTAAGGATAAGACCACGCTGGAGCGTTTCATCAGTATGAATCGTGGTATCAACAACGGTGGGAACCTTCCGGACGAGTTGCTGATGGTGAGCATGGATGTGTATGTGGGGTGTTGAGTGATGTATGACAGTCCTTCCTGCTAACATGGGAATTCCCATGCACAAAGTCTGCAATACCAGCGACCTGAGGTTGTTATGTTATTGCTTACAGTCACTGTGGCCTGGATACCTGCAATATCAGTTGCAGATGAGTCTTTCATTTCAAACGAGATGTATTACCGAGGAAATGCATTTTGAAGTCAGTTGTTTGGAATGAGTTTTGTAGTGAGTCAGTGCATTAAGACGTTTTTGACATCATCAGACATCATTGCCTTTTGTGATGATTTGGCTTGTTTTTATTTTATGTGGTAATCATACCTACCCATGGGGATAACTTTGGGTTGAGCATTGAGGTCTCGGCCCATTTAAAGGGGGTGTATTGGCTGGTTACAACCCCCCCATAATTTACGCTCATGTACCTGTCATTTTGGGGGTTTCATCCAATGCATTCCCAACTTACCAATTCTTCCAAACTTTTATGATGGCGAGAATCAGTTTCCCCACCTTCCAGCCCCTGTTCGGCAAGATTAAGATGGACTTTATTGATCCCAGGGGGAAATAGTTTTTTTTTTTTTTTTTTTTAAAAGATCCCTGTGCATAATGGGTAGCAACAAAATATGTCGACTTGAAATGTAGCGTTAGGAACCCAATTAATGATCTCACATTTTGCTCTTACTACTCTTATGCAGAAACTCTACGAGAGCATCCGGAGCGAACCTTTCAAAATCCCAGAGGATGATGGGAATGATCTCACTCATACCTTCTTCAACCCTGACCGAGAAGGCTGGCTTCTAAAGCTGGGTGAGGCGGCTGGATGCGCTTTCTTTGATGCCTGTATGCTGGAACGTTATTTCTGTGTACGGAAAACCGAACAGCGATTGAAATCCTGAAAGGGTTTTTATTTAGCAGCGATCGCTGCCTATTTCTTTCCTGCCTAAAATCACAGCCGTCTGTAGCAAACTGAGACGATCTAGGTTTTTCCTGTGTGCACGAGTACGCCAGTGGCTCGAGGCATTAAAGATGACGCTAAAATTATGTCATTTGGCTGGGTTTCGAAGGCTTTAGAGATTTAATTAAGCCAATCCCGATTCAGGTGGTTGCGTAACATTTGAACGTGTTCAGCTGGTAAATTACTATGGTAAGTTTCAACTGTAATTGTATCATTTGCTGGTATACATAAGTTCAAATTGCCCTGGGATGAATTTGGATTATAGAAGAGACAGATATTCCATTAAGAACAGTGTTGTATATCAAAACAAGTAAAGCACTCTGTGACCTGTTCCCAATACGTCGTGACTCTCAATGCTAATTATTTAGAACCATCAGAACTATAATCCCTAAAATATGTATGAATATTCTAGGGCAGCACTGGCTTATTACGTCCCTCCGCTATGAGTTTTCTGGTTTCCTCCTGAGGTCCAGAAAATGCAGTGAGATGAATTGGTGTCCATACAGTACATGACCCATAGTGGGACGATACGTGGCCTGAGAGGCAGGCGTGTAGCTGAGAGGCAGGCGTGTAGCTGAGAGACAGGCATGTAGCTGAGATGCAGGCGTGTAGCTGAGAGGCAGGCGTGTAGCTAAGATGCAGGCGTGTAGCTGAGATGCGTCCGGTGACTGTGCCTGTGCTTTCCGGGGCCCAGTGCAGGATACGTGGATGCTATGTATTTATTATATCTATTATCCGTAAGTTGAAGCTTGTGCTTGATACAGTCAAAGTTTTACCAGCATAGTAAAACTTTAATTTATGCAAAACAGCCTCCATGTTGTTTCCTTTATTTTTTTCAGAAATGCAAATACACAACACTAACCCTCAGACTTCCGTATTGCTGCACATTTCCCTGCATTTTACTCAGACATTGCATCCCAATACACAGTTTAATGCTAAGCGAACGTAACTTCTGCATAGTGTAGCTGCCTTCGTGGTGAACCTTTGGTTACCCTGAAGGGCGGCGCTAGCAGGCCAATGACAGTAATGCTTCCTCTTGTTGTGAAGGTGGCCGTGTGAAGACCTGGAAAAGGAGGTGGTTCATTCTTACTGATAACTGTCTCTACTACTTTGAGTACACCACGGTATGTGCATTTTTGTTTATGCATTTTTATTTATTCACTGCTTTTATCCAAAGTGACATATAACTGAAAATGTAGGGTCAAACAGTCCGTGGGGCAATTAGGGGTTAAAGGCCTTGCTCAGGAGCCCTACTGTGAAATCACTATGCCAGACCACGGGATTTGAACTGGTGACCTTCTGATCTCTGGGTGAGCCATACCCCACCCTCAGAAACTGGCTGAGAAGATTTACCAAAATTTACTTCACAGATGTTTACATCCAGTGCCACATAAAACTAAGAGAGCATGGGAAAGCAGTCTCCGATTTGTGGGATTTGACACCGTTGACCTTCCGAGCTCGAGCACAGCATCCTAAACCTGCTGAGTTGCACATGCCCCATGGAGATAGCTTCACAGCCTCCACCCAAACCCTCTCCTGAGGACAGCAGTGACACCTGAGCTCTAAAGCCTGCTGGTTCTGAGCTGGATTCCAGTACATCGCTCACTGGGGAGCCATAAAAAAGGCTCGCCTTGGACAAATGGGAGGAAAGTTCTCTGCATGCTTAGGTCAAGATCTGAAATACTCCTGTATGCCTCACACAAGGTCTGTGTCCACAGGATAAAGAACCTAGGGGCATAATTCCACTAGAAAACCTGTGCGTGAGAGAAGTGGCGTATCCACGCAAACCGGTACGTCTCCCGTGTGCGTCGGAGACGTCGGCTTCTCCGTCACCACCAAATCCCATAATTAACCATAATCCTCTGCTCTCACCTGACACACAGTACTGCCTGGAGCTGTACAATCCCAACAGTCGGGGGCAGAAAATCAAGGCGTGCAAAACTGAAACAGATGGGCGGGTCGTGGAGGGCAAGCACCAGTCGTACATGATCTCAGCAGCCACGGCCGAGGAACGTGACGACTGGATCGAGTCCATCAGGTCAGGACGAGATTATCAGGAGTGATCTGTGTGTATGTCTGTGAAGGTTATGAATATATTACATTGTGGGGGCAAATGTCCGCATGATGTGATAAAAACCACATCATGCGGATGTTGTGGGGACCGTTTACTTGTCCACTACTTCTGCACTAAGCACATGATTTTATGAGTATCATTTATTATTTATAGTTTATTTTCCTGATTGTGTATGTTTGTTTTGCATGACACCCCAAAGTAAATCCCTCAAATTTCAAAGTACTTGCTGTTAAATAAACTATTCTGATTCTTTGTGTTAGTCATAAAACAGAAAATCTAACAAAGTTGACCCTGTTACTAGGAATTATCACATTCCTTTATTCATGGGGAAAAAAAAAAATCATGAACGTTGTTTACGTCAACAGAGCAAGCATCACCAAGGACCCTTTCTATGACCTGGTGACTGTTCGCAAGAGGAAGGTCATCAACAATGTGGCTCATGAGTGAGGAGAACTCCCACCTAGGATTGTTAAGGAATGTACACATGGCTGAGGACCAGGGAGGGCCTTAGCTTTGCCTGACTGCAATACTGACGCTTGGAGAGTAGGACGCATTAACGAACAACTGGATCGACAGTCAGAAGATGCAGACAAGAGCCCCTGTGCACCAGCCTGTGAGAGGAAATAAAAACTGATCTTCACAGTTATTTAGCAAGTGAAGGGGATGTGGCTGCGGTTCTAATACCAGAAACCATTTCACATTACTACTGCTGCCCTGCAAGGACCAGTAAGGAGATCAGAAGACACAGACTTTTGAAATAACCTTCCATGATCGGGTGGGCAGGTGTTGATATGAAAGACCATTATGAAGAATGGGAACTTTCAGTATTATAATGGAGTTAACTGACAAGTTGCAGCCAGATCATTGCTCAAACAAACGGTGTCAAAACCCACGGCGTCCACTGCATATCGACAAACATGCTGGCTTTAAAAAAGATATTTTATAAAAAAGAAAAATCGCTGTACCAATATATCTCCGATCATTTCTTTTATCATTTATACCCAGCGCGTGAGAGCCACAACCTCCTCATTCCTCAGACTTCTCATGAAAATGCGCAAGAAAGCGTTTCAGATCATCATGCAAGCCAAGGGTTAATGAAAATAAAAACCAGGGACCTTTTAGTGCAAGATGGAAGAAGGAACGAAACAGAGAAGTAATCGTCAGGAAGACGAAAGAATGTCAGGAAAAAGCAGCTTGTTTTTAACCAAGCCATTTTCACTTCCGCCAACTCGCAGTATATTTAGCATCAAACAGTTTATAGTGAGTGAGGTTCCCATCAGATGTAAAGGCGTGTGTGCCACCTTCGCCTACTGATGTGTGACTGAGAAAGGGTGCGGGTCTCGTGTCAACATCATCGGCGCCCCAGCAGACGCGGCTCGAAAAGCGACCCTAACGCCGCCTGGCGATCGGAAGGAAGAACTGGTGGGATTAAATCCCTGAGGGTAAACTATGTGTGTAAAAAAGGAACATGACTTTGAAATCAATGCAAAGTTTGTTTCTGTTTCTAAACAATAAATAAAGAAAACTGGCGTGCTTATGTGAGACAAGCTACACAGTGTTGGGCAAAATTTTCAAAAGTGGAAATGTTCACACTAAGATGAGATTCTACACTGTAAGATATTTTAATTTATTTTTAAGTGGTTTGCTGTTTAAAATGTGTTTTAAGTGTGCACACTTATATATAAATGTTGTAATATTTAAATAAACTTGTTTGACCTTTAAGCCTCTTTATTTTGGATAAACAAACTGTAAACACTTATTGTGTTCACATCGCGGGTTTCGGCTTCTGCAGTTTTGTATATGTGTCACTTTGGCCAGCAAGTTATTTTTACTTATGTAGTTTTATTGTTATTTTACATTACTTATGTAAAGGTTCTTCCATTATTTCCACCGTCGAGGTTAAATACCTCCATGTAAATACAGAAACTATTTAATAAATTAAGTGGTCTATTGCGCAATGTTGAATATCAGTTTTAAACCTCGTTTGTTCAGATGTATTAATTGGGTGCATCTTGAGATTTACTGCCATATGATGGTGCAAAGATTTAACAGTGGTTCACAAAAGTATTTGCTGTCAAGCGCTTCAGCAAATAAGGTGAACTTAATTAGTCTTAGTACCCATATGTTTGAGGATTAATCTGTCATTTCAGTACGCTGGCTGAAGGTAGGCCTACTGGCCAAATGAAATGTTATGTAAATCAGATGTTGAGTGTGACAAAACGCCTGTGACTGTTGCCTTGGTTAAGTCATTATCTCAAACACAGCTGATAAATATGACTTCTCCTCTATCTAAGATGGGCTTCTTGATAGAGCTTAAGTCTTGTTTATAGTCGGAGTAAAACTTGCATTTCCGTTACAAGAGGAAATGCACTGGCTTATCATTTCTCAATTCACCCGCCTTATTAGCAAACTACCATATCAAATGCCTTGTTTGTCGGCAGCAGACAGGCGAAAGAGTCCGATAAGCATTAATACCATGCATTGTAGGCATATGCGTTAATGATCATTAAGTAAACCACTGAAGAATGCAGCGACCCCCTTCTTTATTTTATTTTGACAGTTTTAACGTAAAATCTCACTTCTTGCATTCATGAGTCGAATCACATGAGGAAGCGAAAGCCGCCCTGGCGGTCTCATACCCGTCTGAATGTCTCATGCGCCCTCTGGTGGCCGCCTTCAGGATTACAGGCGAAATGACAAGCAAGAGCACAGGGAAGTACCAAAACTGCAGTACAATAGAATTACACAATTTCCCTCTGGTAGTATCAAAACATTTGTCTATTTTATTAAATAGAAACCTTAGGATTCCGGCTGGAATTGTCAACATTCTCTCTTGTAAAAGCTGAAACATAATATGAATGCATTAGGAGTAGAGAGATGGCCTGTTTTTAAATTATACAGCATGTAGTTGTGATGCAAAGCTTCCCCTGACAGACAGGGCCCCTTCCTGTTGGGGCATTTCTCACCCTGAGCCGCTTTACATCCTCACAAGGCGACACATGACCCTGATACGGCATGCATACACACTCACATGCATTAATTCACAATCCAGCCCTTTAGTGAAAAGTGAAAAAGACAGATCTCACCCAGAATATCATTCACCAATCACCAAGATGGCAACAACCTCTTACTTAACGTCTTAGGGGTTAAAACATAATCACACATATGGTTTAATTTAATTTCAAAGCTCGGTCAGCATTTGACCGAAACACTCGTTTCCAAGATCATTTTTTCCTGTTTGACAGACACTTTTATCAAACAGTTAAAATTGACTGTTGACTTGGTTAACCCAGACATTAAAAAGGGGAGTGCCTGTTTCACTGTTCAGTGTGGAAAAGTCAAATCAAGCCTTACACCCAGCCTTGGGAAGGGGCCTTGCCCCCTTGGCGAACGAGGCTGCCCTCTGCAGGCAGGTTATGGTAAGACTGGCCAAAAATAGCTACCTTTTTTCACCCATGTATGGCCACTGAGGAAACACAGAAATACTATTTTGCGCACCGTGATTCTCCTTTTTTTATGGTCTTTGGCACAAAACCAATCTGAGGTTTTGAACCATAACATTTTTGCTACTCCATGTTGTTATCAGGACTGAAGTGTTGAGGATCAAGTACCAGCACGATGACGTAAACTTACCAGCCAGCCTGGCTGGCTGCCCGCAAGTTAAAGTTAAATATATTGCATTATTCTACCATAAGTAGCTTTGATACCCATTCAAGTTTCTCATTTCAAATTCTTGGTTCTGCAAAGAAGATGCCAGCGAGTATTTGCCCACATATCCGTCATATCAGGACACCGCGCACTGCTTCTTTGAGGACTGCTTCCGCTCCTTCGACCCTAAAAAGAAATGATGGATACGTAACTGACAACGGTTACCTAGCTAGATAGACTGATTTAAAACAGGGCGACCAAAGGCATACAAGGTCATTATGTTTACAGACACGCACAGCACCAGGAGATTTGAGGAGATCATGCCAACCCTCACCGTCATCTTCGGCAGAGGTAACTGTGTGCAGAGATGTGCTGTTTTGGCTCAGTTTCCGGGATTTTCCCTTGGACGGCAGGTGCTGCTCGGGCTCCATTGTTACAGCGCCCTCTGTGGCTGAGGAGGACCCCGAGGGTGAGTTCACGTTGTTGGCTACAGTGTTTTGGCTTCTTTTTTTGAGGATGAACTTTAAGGAGGTGCGGTGCTTCTTGGTAAACGACTCCTCAGTCTTCATGGAAGCCGTTTTAGGTTCTGGCAGAGAGGTGGGGGTTTCATCGGTGGGTGGGGCGAGATCTTCTGGCTCTTCGTTGGACTGTAGGAACTTCTGAAGGACCAGCTCGGAGCCTTTGATTTCAGGCTGCTCCTCTCCTTTACTAGAGTTGTTGCTGTGCCCCAACTGGTTCAGAGAACCCCCCAAAGCAAGCAGGTACTTGGGATTGTGGTACTTGTGAGCAGGAACCCGGGGGTTGATCTGCCGGGGATCCCCGAGGCTCACCTGGAAGCGGGTAGTGGACATCACAGATGGGGGCCTGCGATTCAGAGTGGAGCGGTTGGACATGGACAGGGAGGGCTTGGCGACGTGGAACTCCTGGTAGAGGTCCAGTTCCTCAGAGACGGCATACAGCTCTCGGAAGTCCTGGTCATAGAAGTCCACCACCTGCCCCGTCATCAGCGTGATCATGGTCCTGTTCAGCCGCGACGAGCTCCAGGTGAAGCTGAAACAGTGAGATGATTTCAAGACGGCAGCACGACATGCGACCAGATGGGCCCTGAATGTGAAATTATAAACTTGATTCTTATGCAAGCTGCACGCCAATGACTGACAACACATGGAGAAAAACAATCCAGACCTGTAGGATCCGAACATGACCTTTTCCCCATCCACCAGCATGTACTTATTGCACAGAGAGCCGGGGAGCTTCCCCTGGGTCAAGGCCATCCCAAATCCTTCCACTGTCCGCACACGGAGGTTCTGAAACGGCCACATGCACATCAGCCAGGGGGTGACTGGAGCCAAACCCAAATCATGCTCTGCATCTCAGGGTGCAATAACTCAGCAAGATATTCAACAGTCTTCAGGTACAGTTGCTGCATTCTAAAAGACCCCTAACAGATGTAATTTTGACAAAGATGTGTCTCTAATACCATACTACTCAACTGCAAGCAGACACAATTATACTTCGCGATAATTTGGTGAAGAATTAACACGTGAGATTGGAAATGCAGAAAACATCTTGCAACAAGCTTGCTTTCATTTTAGCTCTATTGCTACGAGCAGAGATAATGTCTAGATGCATTTAGTCATAGTTCTTTACCTGTAGGTGCACAGTGCCGACCTGCAGCCGGGTGCACATATCCAGGAAGTGCGGCACCCCCCTGGCATCCAGCACGATGTAAACAGACACCCTGCGCTTGGATGCCGCATCCAGCAGGTCCTGTAGGATGTGCAGGTCCGTGAGAAGGTCCATGACCACTGCCAACAGCTGAAAAAAACAACAAGGCAAATGGAAGAGGGTTCAAAGCTTTACAGGTATGAAGGGCCAACCCGACTCTTCCGGGGGCAGTAAGGCGGATTCACTTTGCCCGAGGGCCAGTGGGTCACTAACAAAATTTGCCGAAGGTGGTGGTGCTGACGATAGAGTTTTCCCGGTGGGCAGGGGATATGCTGGCATGGGGGTCCCTGATTTTATTTAGAATTTGGTGATCAGTGGTCATTGTTGACAAACCACAGCACACAGTGCACAACAACAAAATGTGTCCTCTGTGTTTAACCCATATGTGACATAGCAGGGGGGGGCAGTGCTGGGGGGCGGTACCTTGCTCAGGGTACCTCAGTGGTACCATGCTGGTCGGGGATTTGAACCTGCAATCTTTCGATTACAAATGCGCTTCCTTAACCATTAAGCCACAACTACCACAGTGAAGCTCTGCTGGTACAAACCTCTCCATGTTACGTGGCTGTGTTCGTAGTCACCTCACAGACCACGAGTTAGATGGCTCCTTCAGCCTAACAACAGCTCTTAAAACAATGAGACAGTCACAGTATCATCCAGCGTTCAGTATGGCAGATCAGAGCCCGTACTTCAAAGACCAAAGGAACACGAGCTGTGAGGAACAATAACGCACAATAGGTTTGGAAGAGTAAGAGAGTATAATGGCAGGCAAGTAAACTGCCACCTCGGAGAGCCACTGGGGTCCACGACTCTGTCGATGATTCAGAGAGACATTTACAGGCAGATATAGGCAGGTCAGCCTTATAACTCGGGCTAGGAATGCAGGCCGGAGAACCTTCTTTTCAAAATATGCAGTAGACTATTATATTAGACTCTTCAAATCACGGTCCTCAAGGTGTGAGCCCTGCTGGTTTTCCAGCCTTCCTTTACCTGTGAGTCAGGTGTGAAGCCTCTGACCAATCAGAATCAGTAATTATTAAACTAACTACCTGGGAGAACTGAAAACAAGGCCTGGATTCGGAATTGAGGGCCAGATTTGAAGAGCCCTGCACCAGACTGCTGACTCAAAACAAAGTTCGTATTGGTCAAATAAGTCAAAATGCTTCCATAAACTGGTTACTAACTCCTTCAAATTTGGCATACTGTGAATAGTTTCTCAGTTTAAATAGTGTTGGTTTAGCTTATACGTTGTTTGTAGGAACACAGTCAAGTTGTTTAATACACTCAAACTGATGCTGTTGCAATTGAGTATGTGGGTAGAATTTATATATAGTTGATAAATAAACCGTAAATGTTCCAGTAGTCAAGAATAAGAGGCATTAGGAGATTAGTAAGGCATCAAACAGCTCAGGTTACTCTGACTACCATCCCTGAGGGGTAACGGGCACATTCCTGTATACAGTTTCATCCTCGTCTTTAATTCCTGCATCATCCTTTTTGTTTTCTCTGGAGGGCTTGAATACCCATCCACAATAAATATTTAGAAACTAAATACATGTAATCTATTTGGAAATAGGATTGATGTGTTTTTTTAAGCCACAAATATATTGAATTAACCCTAACCACCACATTCACAGTATAAATAGTTTACAGAAACCATGTTTACTTAGAAGAGCTGCTTTACTGGCCAACTGCGTGCTGATGGATGGTTCACCAATAGGTAGATGTTTGACTGACGTAAGGCAAACTTATCTCTGTACACTCTGGTGTACAGTAGCCACAAGTACCACCGATATACCACATAAAGGGACCATGATACATTTAAATGCTCATAAAATTACATTGTATCACAATGCATTGTTTTATTGGGTTGCTATCCTAAATGTCGATCCTTGTGCCGCAGTTTAAATAATGATAGGAATAGTAACAGGACTAGAAGGTGAAGTAAACAACAGGGGTAATGTGGCCAACAGGCAGTGACCCAAACGTGCGAATTAGTCATAAAATGTCAGGAAACAAAACAGATTTTTCTGCTTAATTTAAATCTGTGCTGGCAAGGGTGAGTTCACAAGAATCCCTGAAAAACTGGTCGGCGTGTTATGCCAGTAGCATGCTAGGAGTGATAAGTGAAAGTGAAATACCTACTGTGCTATTTGTTTAGCAACAAGACAGAGTCGACTGACAAGCAGGAATGCAGCTGCAAAGCCTGTCAGGGAGGTGAAGTGCTTGAGACGTGGTTTGTCTCTATAGGGAAAGGCTACAATAAACTTCCAAAGAAAAGAACAAGAGTATTCAGGCCAAGCGATCCAGGTTGTCTTTGGAGAGGATTTGTCGAGGAACTTCTTTGCTGCAGTTGAATGCGTCCTGCCGGCTGCTATAAGACTCAGATGACAAGGAGAACTTACTGTAATTCTCAGCGTTTTTGGACACGGCTGACAAAGAGGCACGCACCTCCAGTCATGAGGAACAAGGAGGAACTATGATCAAGGGGGTCAAGCTGGCTTCCAAATTCTCGTGCAGACTTGTTTGGTGGGCGTGGCCTACGAGCTCCTAGTGATATCAATGGAAAAAAGGAACAAGTTGGGACTTGTTTCACTTTGGGGGAAAAAAAAAAAGAAAAAAAAATTGTCAAGCTGTTGACATATTGCAAGGACCCAGGCCAAACATCCTGGTCGGAGTGAAACATTGCAGCCTAGCACTGGCCACTGTGCTCAGACCCCCCCCCCAGGTGTTTCCTGAGGAGGAAAGGAAGTGAGATGTGCTGCTGATGTGACGGAACAGGAAGGAGGGAAGAGTCAGCAGGGTGTCTGGAAGCATCATGGAATATGACGGATTTTGATGATTAATGAATTTCAAAAAAGAAATGGTGTCTCTCTTGATAAGATCAGTAGATTTGCTGTAGATTCTAGAGTGATGATGAAAATGATTACACTTTTTATTGAGCCCAATATTTGCCATCTTGCTCCCTGGAGACGAGAGTGATTTTTTACATCGGCAGCGAAGGGCAGCCACCCATAGCGGCACCCAGGGAGCTGGGGGTTAAGGGCCTCGCTCAAGGGCCCACAGATGTGCCGAGGACCGGCTACGACCGGCACCCTGATCACAGGCACAGAGGCTCAGTCCACTGAGTCACACGCTGCCCACCAGTCGTGCACCTATGTCAGTAACAAAGTCAGTGTGGTAAATGAAAGTGAATTATCTACCCTGTCATTTAGGACTAACCCTCACCAGGAGCTCGTCTGATGAATCAGGCCTTGGCGTGAACATCAATGGGTGCCGAAGGGCGGAGATGATTTCCCGGGAGGAGGGTTTATTACCACCCCAAGAATCCAGCATTTTCAGCGTACTAGACGTCAAGGGCAACTCCGTAATGGCCAAGACATCGTGAATTAAGTGTAAGTCAGTATGGGAGATCGGTTCCAGTCCCTCTGGAGCAATGGCCACAGGTTGTTATAGCTGAGAAAAGTGTCAAAAGATGTAACTGGATTGTGGGGCCATACCCTGAACATTATGGTGAATCATTTCTATGTAAAATTATTAAATAGATTTTTTTACATTTCACAGAGCTGCCATGACATCCCCGGCACACAGGAAGTCCTAGATGACTTCACCCTTGGGCCAGATTTAAAAATTATCCAGCGTGTAGAAATTTTGTGATAGACATGTACAAAAAGTGTGAACCTCCACTTGAATCGCAGGACATACGGGGGACACTTTTATACAGGACTATGTAAAGCACGTATGCGGTCAGCTGAGCTAATCTCTGAAATATCTCACGAATGTTCAGAGCACAAAGTTCAGAGCTTGACACACCCACTGTACCAGGGCAGACATACTTGGAACCAGGAAATGTTACCGTATTACATTAAAAAGCTGCTTGCAGTTCATCCCTGGTATATAAAGCTGGATTTTCCCAGCGCATTTCATATTTAATATCTTTTTGGAGTTACGACTGCCAGGCCCCTATATGGCCATGTCCTTAACTGTTATATTCCCCAACTACGCCTCATTGACTATCAATGAAGAAAAAAAAAGAAAAGAAAAACACCAGTATCATCATTTCTAGGGAGGAAACTCCGGCCGCCTACGCAAGTGAGGAGCCCCAGAGGCCGTCGATGGCCCCCAGCGTCTTCCGGCAGACAGAAACAATGACTAATGCTCAGGCTGCACTGCGAATCCCATCATGCCGCGGGTTCTGCCTCGCTGATTCACTGCCTCTCTAGCAGAATGACTTTATTAAAGTCGATCTGGCACGAGCTTGGGCCACAGGCAGAAACAAATGAAGTAATTACCTGAGTCCAAACAAACGAAAGAGCCGGTATGGAGGTGACAAAACATTTCATACAAAAACAACAACCGGTTTCGGTTAAACCAGAGTCTCCTTCTTGGGAAATGTGTATGTACATGTTGCATCATCACAAGTGAACCCCCCCGATATCTATACAATGAGTTGCTACTATACTAGTAGGATATCTTCATTCCAAGCATTCACACTAACAAAGGAGACCCAGACCTCTGTTATCTAATCGCCTCATTCCAGTAATACCAGCGGAGGCAGACTCGTCATTGGTCGTTCACCTAATGGTCCAGGTCACACATCAGACTACATTATATCAACTTTCCCAGGGGGGGGAAATTCTAGGTGGTCAAACTTTCAGTTTACACCCCATAGTTCAGGCCGATTACTCATTGCGTTTCATAGCCAGAGGCACACTGGTGTGCGTGCGTGTGTCACTGGAAGTGCGAAAGAGGACCGGTGATCAGAATGAACGTGTGTCAGTATTCTAGGTAGCTACAGGCAAGTTTCCTTGTTACACCGACCGGCACAAACCTGTTGCCCGACAGCCTGTGTCGAAGCCAAGAAAAGTACTCAAAGAGGGACTACAAAACCAGCAGCGAACACGTTCTGGGTGTGTGCAGTTAAAAACCAGTGCCAGTAACACAATGGAGTTCCCCCCCCAATTATATTACATTCGCATGTCTTCATTATATAACAAAACAAAATGACAGTATACATTAAATTTAATTTGTGATTTCTACCTAGTCTTGTAGTAAATGTGCCTGTGGCAATTTATTCAAAAAAGTGTTTCCTTTTCTATTCTTCTACTCAGTATGTCTAAGACTGGTGATTTTAACAAAAAGGCAGTATGACGCTGTAATCAGAGGGTTGTCGGTTCATATCCCAGCATCAGCAGTTTGATGTCACTGCTGGGCCCTGGAGCAAGGCCCTTAACTGCTCCCATTCAAAGAGGTGTCACTTCGGATAAAGGTGTCTGCTAAACAGATAAATAGTCAGCATTTACCGTTTTGTTTCCGCCCCCTTTAGAAAACTAACCATATTGATATTTTTGTGAAACGTTATCATACCTCAGAGTTTCAGGGCTCATGCCACATGTGAAATTAAGGTCAATCGTTACTGTCTAAGGTGAAGACTCATTTCCTGTTCTTAATAAATTAGATGTGTCATTAGGCTTTACAGTAAACACATTCTTCTATACAGACAAACTGGAGGCTTGAGTAACTGCCGCTTCCTTGACAGCATCTCTTAAAATCATGTTTTAGGTCTCATGAGTGCGAACCGCACGCAGTAAGTCAACAAAATTAAGACTAATATTCTTGCAGTTTTCGGTCATTTCATGAAGTCTGCACGATGCCCTGCAGTAGGTTTTTTTTTTTTTTTTTAAATAATCATTGAACTACAGTACATCGGCCTCTGATAGCGATCCCACACCGTGGTAACAGAAGCCATCATACAGCATACTTTCCAAAACGCCACATGTCAAAACTTCGTCCAGGTAACACCTCTGACAACATTTATATGGCAGACAAGAAATATTTTGGGGATTGATGATGTATTACCTGCCTTTAAATAAAAACGGCTCTTTTAGATTTTTTTTTTTTTTTTTTTTTTAAAGATTTTTACATGTTTAGTTGTATGTTTAAATTTACTTATGTCATGACACCACCTGCACCAAAAGAAATTCCTTGTACTTCTCTGTACATGGCGAATATGATTCTGATACTGATTGTAAATGTATGATTACTGCCCATAAAGAGTTTTTATAGATTGTTATATCGTCCACCTTTCATCGGCCTACCTTACGGGACTCCTGGATCAGTTTGCGGACCACCTCTTTGATAAAAGGCTCCCTCTCTTTCGGGGGATGAGTGTAGACATTGACCCGGGTCAACCCTTTATACTTTGCGCCGTCCGACCACCCGATGTCCAGGGGCGGCACCGCAGTGTCCGACAGCTCGGGCCAGTAGGTGGACCGCTCCGCCTTAGACCCGGCCCGCTCCCGCTTCTCGTTCCGATCCGCTTCATACTCCCGGAAAGTTTCCCGGATCAGCTTGACCTCTCGGGCGCACAGAAAGTCCTTCATGCGGTCGTCCTGGAGCCGGTTCTTGAAAGCGCTGTCCCCGTCCCGCAGGAGCTCCTCCAGGGCCGCCCTCTGGCCCTCGCTATAATAAAACTGCGGCTTGTTGTCTGTTATTTTTTCATTCACGGTATTATCGTCCATGCAAAGTAACTGGGATTCGGCCATCGCGGCTGCCCCTGATCCCGGCGAGTTCACGCTGCTGCCTTCTCTTGCTGGAAAAAAAGTATCTACAAGTGCAAATGAGTGACGAAGCCTCCTTTTCTTTCGCTTTTTTAAAGGTGGGGTTGAAAAACGTCAGCAAGAAATGACACAGCATGCAGGAGCGCTGCTGGTGCGCGTCGCCTACATCCCGGGACAGAACCGGGGCATTTCAGCGAAGCCTAATACTCCCCGATCCCTCAGTAACCAGTGTTACAGGCTGATTTATACCAATGATACAACATTTTAGGATTTATAATTTGACGTGTCGTTTTACCGAAGCTGACTTGAGATTACAGGCTAGCAGCCACAGGTGCGGCAGGATCGCTTTCAAGGACACGTGACAAATCATTACTTCCCCCGTGCTCTTTTTAAAAAGGCGATTATTTGGTATGCCTGTATGATTAACATTGTTTTAGAGGTAATACAATATTAGCAGAGATATCTAGTTATTTATATGTAGTGTTTAGTGTTTTCCTTTTAATTTTGATATGTATTTTTGTAGTTTGACGTAATTAGAAAAGAATTAGGAACAGAAAATAAATTTCTCCTTATTGACTCTCATCGAATTAATCATAAGGGGAAGAAACAGCAGAGTCGGCTAGGTTCTTGCTTCGATTCGATTTTGTTTAATTGAGAATATAGATTTATAACACACGGTGGATTGAATCTAAACCAAGTCAGTTTCCCCAGCCTTCTTTTGTCACTGTCTTTTCCGATTTAAAAGAAATACATGTATCTAAGAAAATTCAATTGAACTCATTCTTAAAAATGAATTTTACATTGTGTTAGACAACAGTATTATTATTATTATTATTATTATTATTATTATTATAAAACTAGGCCAATTTAGATTGTCCAGTGCTGGAACAATTAAAATCTCTGACAAAAATAACTATCCAGATGATTTACTTTATATTTTAATTATGTCTGAAAGTAATAAAAAAATTCTGGGTAAATGTTGTTTTAAGTTAAAACTGTAATATTAGATTCCCATTCAGTTTACCATCTACTTTTAGGTAATAAATTGTACTCACCTTAACACATACTTGCGGGTAATCAACAGAAATGATCCTGATGGCAAGTATTTGGACACACACAGGTGGGATCTGAACCCCCATCTCTAAAGGAGTGAGACAATGATCGTAACCACGGCACCACCGTGAAGAAGGGGCGATAGCTTATGTTTGGACACCGGTAGATTGTTCGCATATTGACAAGATGTTGTTTTTTTTTTCTTTTTTTGTGGCAATTACGCATCCTTCTAAGTGTTTATCCTGGGGCCTGTATCACAAAGCCGGATTTCCTGCTTTCATGGCTAATTTGTCGGATTTAAGGTAGCCCCGAGTCTAAATGGACTTTATCCTTGTTCAGTAACATTTAGCCCAGACTACCTTAAATCTGACAAGTTACCCAGCTAAACAAAATCTTGATACAGGCCGCTGGTCAGAGCAAAGGGGGACCTGGGGCCTCCCCCAGGGAGCACAGGGTACAAGGCTGGGCTAAGCCTGGGATGGGAGGCCTGCTGTGCCTTGGTTGGGAGGCCTGCTGTGGAAGCTGTGGTCTTCTGAATCTCAGGCTATTTCTCTAGTATCAACACCAGCAAACAAAATGAATCCACACTTCTTTACTCCCCCAGTATTGAAAATTTGCTTTTAACACTGTTCTTTATTTTTCATGTTTCTCAACAAAGTTGCATAAAGTTTTGCTTCCATTATTTAAACTGAAGTAATTGCTGTGTGATAAATGTTCAGAAACAAGACAGAACAAGGTACTACAACTATTGACAAATATTTCAAGTTTCCATGTAATGACATTGCAAACAATAATGACATAAAATAAACCACAATGTCAAAATACCTGTCAGCTTCTCGTAAAATAAAACTTTAGAAACAAAAACCACATCAAAGAGCGCTGTGGAGGACTGGAAAAAGGTCACCGTGAAAAAGCCACTGAAGATGCAGGAGGTCACGGAACCACTAGGGGTGATGCTGCACCGGCCTCAGGGGGATTCGACATAGTTGGTGGGAAAGAGGCCAACTTTCCCGCGCAGTCTCCCCTTCCACCAGGAGGCGTCAGAGCGGTTGAGAACTTCGATGAGGTCCCCGGCATGGAAGCCGAGCTCGTCCTCTTCCTCTGCTTTGAAGTCATACAGAGCTCGCACCTGTAGAGTCTGGTTCTGAGCAGAACACACACACACACACACATACACACACACACACAGCAGCGGAAATGGCACGTGAGGTATGAGTGTAGGCTGACTTCATACGTACATTCATATGGTAGGCGCTTTTATCAAAATCGACATATAACTGAGAGTCAGGGTCAGTCTCTGGAGCAAGCGAGGGCCTTGCTCAAGTTTCCAAAAGTGGAGTCACTCTGTCAGGCAGTGGGATTTGAACCAGCAACCTTCTGATCACAGACTCAGATCCATTTACTTTAACATTTATTTACTGTATTGTGAGATACATTGAGAGTTTATTTACTTAGTACCTATTGTTGTTTTTGCAATTAAACAACTTTGGCTATGTCTGTTGAAAACATTTAATGGAGTGATCGGAGGAGTTGGTGTTTTTTTGTTTCTGTTTGGTCAAGTTGGTTATTAGGAGGTTTACCTGCGTGTGTGCGATGGCATCGGACTGGTGACGGGGAGGTGGCTCTCTCGGAGATTCTGCACTTCTGCTTTGGTTTCTTGGCTACACCCCCAACCAACAGATAAGGGAATTCAAGTTAGAACAAAACACAAAAGCACACCAACCACAGCATGGTGACACACTGATCCCAATGTTACATACAAGAGTAAAGCCATCTAAAAGAACCTGCCATTCTCTAAACACTGCCAGCCTGGCTTTGGATACAGTATATCCAGAGAAAAAAGTAAATGAGAAAACTAACAAAAAAAACCAACAAGACAATAAAAGCAACATGTTTAGTTTTACTTCTCCATTTGGGTGTCTATACGGCACACACACCACAACAGAGGGTATTAGAAGACAGTTGAGAATTCAAAGAATCGACAATACAAGAGATCTGAGAAGATACAGACCTAAAAAGAAAACAAGAGACATCCGGTAAGAGATAAACGTAAGCGATGTATATTTTCTATTCAGCTGGGAATAAGAATATTTCAGCAAAATGGCAAATAAGGTCAAAGCTCCAAAAATGGGCCCATTATTAGAGAAATATAATCTAAAAGAACAGTTTCCCTTCTTTTATCTCTTAATGCAGTTAAAACGTATCTAGTTATGATTAGTTTGCAATTAAGGGTGGTTTCCTAAGTTATAAAGGAGGAGTGATTGACTGGTTGTTTTTTATGCTTAAACACTCTCATCAGGCCAATTCATCATTCATCTGGCCGAGGAACTTTCAAGGCCTGTAATAACTGCAGAAAAGATGAAAGATGATTTCTGGGTGTGTGAATTCTTAGTAAGTGCTGCAATAGTGTAATAGGGTTACAAAGGAAAAGATAATACAACATAACACGGCAGGTACAACAGGCTCTGTGGACCCTCTTCTAAGGTCAGACACACCTGCTGGCCACCTTCACTAAGGTAGATACACCCATGCTTTGTGATGGAGGTTGTCTTGTAGAACTCCATCAACTTGTTGAGGGAGGTGAACTTCTCTGACCACAGGAAGTAGTTCCCCTTGTTGTCCTTCATCACTTTGAAATGTTGGACGTCAGCCTCGTGCCTGCAGGAGAGCAGATTGCAGAGGTTGAGTCGCCAGTCACCTGCATAGACCGGCCAAGTTTCAGTTTGATGGTCACGCGATCTGAGCTACGCTCCTGCAGTGTTCTGCTCAGACACTCGGAGGCGCATTAAACAATAGGAAAAACCCCCCGCTTATGGCTGACATTATCGAACGGTCCGAGCAGATGGATGAGTCATGGGGCCATGGCTTATGCAGACTGAAGCAGGTAAAACATTCCATAAAGCTGCAGCTGCGCAGTCGTATGCGTCCCTCTGCTTGAGGTTGCTCTAAAACTATCTGCTCGTACTAGCCTGTGCGATGAATGCAAGAGGCAGCTGCAGTCACCCCACATATTCAACGTGAATAATGTCTATTTTTATCTGATAGTTTTATCCAGAGCAACTTACACTAAAAGAAAGGACAAAGATACAGGTACAGGAGATGGATGGTGATAATGTTTCCAAGTCACACTACACATTCTGTGCAATATCTATGTAACACATGGATTGGGAGCTGATGTTTTAGGTCCTGGAACATTGTGGTACACACCTGACAGAGATAGAAAAATCCCCCGGGGAACTCTGGCTGCCGCGGATCAGAAAGGCCCCCACCTCCCGGGACATCAGCATCTCCTCCGCCGAGTGCCGCGTGGCATTCTCCTGGTACCAGCTGGACGGCGAGATCCACAATGCAAAATTAGTGTGGCAGGCGTGTCATCCACAAACACTCCCCTCCCTCCTCAGCTCTGGCGTGAACTGGACTTTTTATTTTGCAGCTTTTGAAAAAGTCTCTTCCTGTCACCTCATGTAAAATTACACCCCCCCCCCCCCCCCAGCCTTAGACACCAGGGAAATGACGGCACTATAGTTTCTACCTGGGGATCCGGAGCTCGATGTAATTTCTTGGCACAAAGCCTTCTCTACCATTCATCTCTGCTTTGTACCAGTCATCATTGGTGCCTAAGACCTGAGGGAAAGGACAGTTCTCACTGATACAGGTCAGCCGAACGCAGAGGAATCCAAATGTACAGGGAAGACAAAGTGAAAAGGTGATATATCGGCATGCAGCGTTTTCAGTCACATTTCTTTCTTGTGCATGGATGCACTGACCTTCTTCTGTTACTCGCTGGTTCCCTGCTTGGTGTGCAGCGTTACTCTCTGGGCAAATGAAAACACCTTGCGTTCTCTCATACCATACTTACCTTGAGAACCTCTCCCTTGCGGAAGCTGAGCTCGTCCTCGGCTGTGGCACTGAAGTCAAACTTTCCGGTGGCTTCCATGGCGAAGTTGGGGGATGGGAGGGGAGACACGGGATGGGTGAGGGGGTGGGGGGTGTCGTGGAGAGAGGGTACCTTTGAGGAGGAAACACAGAGTAAGTGAACGCCCACGAGAGGCCGGTGTAGGAAATATACCTCTTTGAGACGAGAGTGTGATAATCAGTGCCAATCTGTGTGTGTGTGTGTGTGTGTGTGTGTGTGTGCCCTGAACTCAGTGTGTGACGGGCTGGGGTAAGAAGAGCAGGGTTGTAAGGGTGGGGTTCACACAGCTGAAGGGGGTGCATGCGATTCCAAACTGTATTTAGCATCAGAGTGCCAAATGGTGTGTGGCTGTTGTCCATGCTAAACGCTGTGTATGCTAAACCACGTAACCCGATTTATGTCTTCATCATTTCCAGTGCAAATGCTTTTAAATTATCCTCGTTTTAAGGTATCACTTCAAAATTCCACAGTAATATAACTATTTATTATGCACCGATTACCATCCATCACATAAACTACGCACGTTTTTTTGCAGAATATTCAGTCTTTTAATCTCCATTGCTTTGACCTTATGGAAGAAATGGGGCAGAATATTCGCAAAATGTTACAGTACTTTAGAAACATCATTTAAATTGTGGTCTGTAATATTGCCCGCTCTTTGTCTTCTGGACCTTCTATGCCTTCCCAGAAATGAGAAAAAGGACACGGGAACACAGCTGACAAAGGATTGACTTGTGAAAAACAGCGTCTTCTTCCAGTGCAAAGATGCGATGTCTTCTGTAAGATTTCGGCTTGTCGATCAACCAAGAGGGAACGTACAGAGTCCCGCTTTCTACAGAAAAACGGAGATAGCCTAGGCATGTTTATGGTACATGTACCACCTTATATCACCTATCATGCAGATAGCCTAGGCATGTTTACGGTACGTATAACTACCTTATACCACCTATCATGCAGATAGTCTAGGCATGTTTATGGTACGTGTACCACCTTATATTACCTATCATGCAGATAGCTTAGGCATGTTTACGGTACGTGTACCACCTTATACCACCTATCATGCAGATAGCCTAGGCATGTTTACGGTACGTGTACCACCTTATACCACCTTATACCACCTATCATGCATTTTCGCATTATTAACTCCTTTATTTTCTTTGGGTGGGTGGCATGTCATTACACTGGTGTTTATTTTTGAATATTGCTGGACAAGAAAATGTCCCCTTCAGAAATCCGGAGAAGTTAAATCCCATACGGTCTTCCTGCACTGATCCAGCCTACCTTGACTCATTAAGACTCATTTTCTTTATTTGCCAGGGGGTAAGGACAAAAACATTAAGAAATTTAAGAATATGACACATTAGCTCACGCCTTGTCTGAAGATCCTTATAAAATTTTAGTCACACAATCGATCTCATTCAGCCATGAGGGAATATGATTTTTCAACATTAGATGCTCTACTGAAGTTCTCAGAAAATCATTTCCTTTGATTGTAACCAGACTGCACATCAGGTGAATCACTCATTACCTGTATTTTATCAGCATATATTTATCTTTTTTGCAGTATTTACTACAGGCTACTTATCGTAATAGTCACCCACTTATTTATTACCAACTGTGTGCTATAATTATTTTTATACAGAAATTGTTTTATCTGGTGGGCCTATTTTCTATTGTAATTTTGCAGTTGTGTCCTCGCAGTCTGTAATCACAAGCAGTTTCTTCCGGGATAACAAAAGTATTCTGATTCACTCAAATTTAACACAATTAAAAGCATACGCCTATGTTTAATTTTTTTTCAAAAAAGAAAAAAAAAAACTTCACTGTTTTGTTCCAAAACAAGCCACCGTATTGTTCACTGGAAAAACATCTGAGACTCTAGGTATCTTAAGTTGATATCTTTATATATATTTATATATGTATATATCTATTATATATATATATTATTTTTTATATATTTATATATAAAGTTACATTAATATGCAGTAAAGGGTTTTTGATCCGATTTGGCTATATTTTACATGCCTGGACCCAATATCTTAATCAATTAAGTTTTTTGTGTACATGCCTAAAACAATTCTGCTATATATTTATGATGAAGTTATCAATATTTAAAGATTTCAGTGGAATCAAGCAAATCAAGTATCATTGTGTTGTTTCATAATCCCATCGACGGTTGTAATTTATTTCCAGAAGTTCAGATGATTAGAAAGCTTAATTTTTAACTCATACAGATATACAGTATACAAACTTAATATTATTAAGTTAACAAATATTATTAGGGTAATATTATTAAATAACTAACAACTATAGTTGTTTATCCGTTGCACATCATTATCAGATGATTACTAATCCTATATTACAACACTGTGTAAGTCACCTACTTTCACACAGCTGTCAGGTCCGTTAAGACTGTAACAACCACTGAGTAGTCTCTGACTGTAACAACCACTGAGTAGTCTCTGACTGTAACAACCACTGAGTAGTCTCTGACTGTATCAACCACTGAGTAGTCTCTGACTGTAA